CAGCCTTCAGCCAGCCCAGACCTTGGGCAAGTGTGTGCCCGATGTACTCAGCGTTCCTGTACTCTGGAACTCCTAGTTCCTCAGGTGTGAACTAGGAATGTTGCCATTGGGATTGCCTTGCAGAGCTGTCCACAACCATTGGGTCTCCCACCAAAGCTCCCACCACCCAAGCCTTGTTGCTGAGGCTACTTGAGATAGGAAGGTCTGGGGTCTGCAGGAGGCAGTAGCCAGAGAAAGGAGCAAGAGGGTTTCAAGGTTTCCAAGGTATGTAGGGTCCCAGGAAATCCCTCTTGCCCTCTCCCTGTGGCCTGCCGATGAGCAAAGCTGGATCCCTGCCCCCTGGCACGAGCCCTGCTGACCTGCGCCCAGATGGCCTCCGAAGACGGGTCGTCTGGGGTTCTGTGTGTCGGGAGCACAGCCAGTAGATACAACCCCCTCCCGTGAGACAGCCAGGCAGCCTGGCCTCTGGCAGACACCAGCTTTGCTCAGCTGCCTCACCCCAGGGAGTGGCTAGTCTTCCCCTCCGGCCAGAAAGAGAGGGGGCCAGAGGTTACTAAAGGGGGAGGCATTGCCGAGGTGAGCTCAGAAGGAAGGAATCGGTGTGGGGAGGAGCCTTCCTGCTCACTGGCCAGTGGCCATGGACAAAGAGAGCTGCTCTAGGACAGTTACTGGGCCCCCTCCCACCCCCACCCCAGGCGCAGTAAATTATTTCACGCACAGCAGCCAACAAAAGGGCACCTGCTGGCTGCTCTTCCTCATCCTGGAGTGACCGCTTCCCACTGACCCTCAGGCCAAACCCTGAGCAGTCTTTCAGATTCTCAGCTTAAATAGCAATTGCCCCTTCCAAGGACCCTTCCCTTGACTCTTCTCTGGGCCAGTGGGGGCTCTCCTTCCCAGCCCCAAGCATCCTCTAATTAACCCGTATCATTCTATTGCAGCATCTTTCTGACTTTCTAACCAGAAAACCTCTTAGAAAAAGATGTATACTCTCAGGAACGTCTCGTGATGAAAAAATGTTTATTACTTTTCGTTGTTTCTGTTCTCTTCATAAAGAATCCATTTAAGATGAAAAAAATTTTTTCCTAGTGATTCTTTAAGTCATTCAACCCCAAAGCATAGTTCTGGATATTGGATAGGTGGTGGACAGTTCTAGACACTTGGGGTACACATCGATGAACAAAGCAACGTTCCCTACTCTCTGGAGCTAGTGTTCTGAGGGAGTCAGAAAACAAACAAATGGATAAATACATTTTATTTCGACCATGTGGGAGTCCAGCGCCTTAACCACCACGCCACATGCTGACCCCAAACAAAACTAGAATCTTTGACAGATCTTAGTCCATAACGGCCTCCTATTAATACTTTTTGCCATTTAACCAACTGAAACAGGCTGATTTACTTTAAAGCAGACCAAAATTATTGTCCAAATAAAGGTCTCTTTATTTAAATTATTTTTTCCCAGAGAGATTTTTGCTATAGGGCGTGTGTGCTCACTGGAGAGACAGAGAGACAGAAAGAGAAATCACCCCCCCGGGGGGGGAATGGCCATGTTATAATTCTTTCTCCTTCATTCTCTTCTTCTTCTCAGGATTTTGGACACACACACATGGGCCCAGCATGAATTTTAAGCCACCAGGTTCGGGATTCGAACTGCAGTAGACTACATGGTAGTCCAGAGAAGTAACCATTACACCATCTGCTGGTCCCAAGATCTCTTTGCCAATGAAAACAGACACTCACTTCTTGGTCTTCTACACCAGTTGAATTTAATCCTCTTATGAATCACTGCCATTATCCTGTAATGTGGTTATGAGGAATAAAAATTCTTTCTGAGAAGACATCATAAACTTAATTTTTAAAAAACATTTTTGCCATAGGGCATGTGTACTTGCCAAAGAGAGACAGTGAGAGGGAAAGTGAGAACTCACCCCCCAGGTAGGATGGCCATGACGCAATCCTCTCTCCTCCGTTCTCCTCTTGGGATCTTGGGCACATGCCCACACATGCGTGGTATGATTCCATGTCGCTGGGCCCAGGACTCAAATTGCTGTCAACTGTGTGGGAATCCAGTGCCTTAACCGCCACGCCAGCTCCTGGCCCCAGACTTAAATTTCTTTCTATTTTAATTTATTTTCTCTTTATTCACAATGGAGCTCATGTGCATGCACAGATGGGAGGGGGCACTCTCCTGTCACACCATGACTCCCAAGCCCGTCGGCTCCTGAGCACTAACGCATGTGCCTGGTATGTTTCAGGCCATCCGGGCTAGGAGTTAGAACCACGGTTGCCATGTGGTCTGAGCAGCACGCCCCTCCTGTGCCAGGAAGCTGGTCCTTCCATTCATCTTCATCTTTAGTGCATGCATATTCATGTCCAAACTGGCCAGAGCACGGTCCTAACCTGAGATGATTTCCACACAACCATCCCACGAATGCAGTAGTTTTACATTTCTCAGAACACTCAAACGGCCATCAAAATAAAAAGACAAGCAAAAATGACTTTCCAAAAATTAGAAAAGCAGTGTTTCTTTGCCCAAGAGAGACTTGGCTTTCAAGGCAAATGATATGGTTTCCAAATGTTGGCAACAAAAGTGACAAGTATATGGGGTCTACTTGAGAAACTACATGTCGCATTCCATAAGAAAATGACACTTCTTGGAGATAGGCATTTTTTAAAAATCTCTTTCAATGCCTATGGTGAATGTAAAACCATATGTATCTGTAAAACCTGTCTCTAAAAAATGTAAAATAAAAAATTCTGAGCAGAAGTCAAAAGTGGGATGACCTGGGGCCCACAGCTGGTGTGCTGGTTAAGGTGCTCGACTCCCACTTGGCTGACCGCAGTTCGAGTCCTGGCTTGAAAAATCACACTAGGCGCATGTGTGTGTACCCAAAATCCCCAGAGGAGAATGGAGGAGAAGGGATAGTGACATGGCCATCCCCCCTGGAGGGTGATTTCTCACTTTCCCTCTCACTTTCTCTCTCTGTCTCTCTCCAGCAAGTACACGTACCCTATGACAAAATAATAATAATAATAATAATGATAATTGTGATGATCTGCTTGAAAAAAAAGAAAACTTTATGAGGCAGATTTTTAGACATTAGTTAAATGTGCTTCTGAGAATTTATTTGATTAAACTTTTCTCTTTTGAATATCTTCAAACTGACTCTTTTTTTTTTTTTTAAGAGAGATTTTTGCTATAGGGTGCATATGTTTGCAGGAGAGACAGAGACAGAAATCATCCCCCAGGAGGGATGGCCACGCCACAACCTCTTCTCCTCTTGGGATTTTGGGCACGCACATACACATGCCTGGCATGAGTTTTAAACTGCCAAGTCCAGGACTCAAACCGCGGTCGATAACATGGGAGTCTAGCAATGTAACCATTACACTTGTAACAGAAGAAATGTAACTGGCACACGGAATCCATGACTTCATGGATAATTTGGCTTGAAAGGCTGTTCAGTAGGTATAAGGTTTTTTCCTTTGTTTGTTTGTTTATATATAAGATTTTTGCTAGAAAGCACACACACTCCAGAGAGATACAGTGAGAGGAAAAGTGAGAGATCTCCCCTTGGGGCGATGGCTACGGCACAATCCCTTCTTCATTCGCCTCCTGGGATTCTAGGCACATTTGCGGAGTGCGATTTTCAAACCGCCAGGTCTGGGACCTGAACTATGGTCAACCATGTGGGAGTTCAGTGCCTTAACCACCATGCCCCCTGCTGGCCTGGTATATAAGTTTTAAACGTTGTTTAAAGAAAAATTTTAAATAAATAACAGAACTGGTGGTACAGGGGCATAGCAAAAGTATTTAATTAGCTGTAATGGGTTGAATGATCACTCCCCTCCAAAAGAGATGTCCACAGCCTAACCTCTGGGACCTTGGAATGTGACCTTAGTTGGAAGTAGACTTTGCAGATGTAATCAAATTAAGGATCTTGAAGTGAGATTATCCTGGATTTAGGGGAGGTTTTATATCCAATGACCAGATCCTTTTAAGAAACAGAAGTAAAGACACACAGAGACACAGAGAGGACAGGGCCATGTGACAATGGAAGCAGAGACCACAGTTCCACAGCTGCAAACCATGCAATGCTAAGTAAGGATTACTGACCTAACCTGGTGCTAGGGGAGAGGCTGGCAGGGATATCTCAGGGACTCCCCCAAAAATAATCCACTCTCCGGATTTCTGGCTTACACAGCCATGAGAGAATACATCTCTGTCGTTTTAAACCAGTAAGGTTAAAGTAATTTGTTATGGCCGCCACAGGAAACCAATCCAGTGGCATCGGAATACCCAAGGTTAGGCAAGACTGAATTAGACACTCAGCCACTACAGTGGGTAGGGGCTTAGCGCTGTGATAAACTAGTAACCAAGTAACCAAGTAGCCAGCACCCTGCTGTGAGCTCTAGTAACACCTAGCACCCAGCATTTTCATTCCATACACATAGCTGTATTGAAAGTGAACATCGACATAACAATTTATAATTTAAGCTTATTAATTATTTTATGGATGTACTTTCTGAGAAAATTTCATCTCATGTCTCAACACCTGGACCGCCATAACGAATCCCCCTGTATTGGAACACGCTTAGGAAAGCTCGCTTTCCTCTTGTCTCCCATTTCACAGATGAGAAAAATAAGGCTTGGATGGGGGCGGTGTCTCCAACTCTCCAAGAGGCACTAAATAACGCGGCAGAGATCACTGCTCCACTTCCAACAGAGCTACATCTATTCTTCCCCCAACCTCCAGCAAATACTCCCACAGCGCTTTTTCCCAAAACAGCACCGAGGCTACCCGGCACCTGCAGTACCGGAGCGCGACACCTGGCGGCGGGACCTGCACACGGAAGAGGAGCGGGAGATCGGAGCCCGGAGCCCGGCATGCTGCAGAGGCCGCCAGTGGCCACGAGGGGGAGCGCGCGGGCCTCGGAGAGAGAGCGTTCGGCAAGGGGTGGGGCCCTCCCCCCCCAACGAAGGCGGCGCGCATGCGCTCGAAGGGCGTCGGCGGCGCCGACCTGAGAGAAGGGTAAGACGGTGGCCGAAAGGGCACGGAGAGGCGGACGGTGGCCGACGAGGTCGGGAATGGAGCACTTGGAGCGCTGCGCGTGGTTCCTCCGGGGGACGCTGGTGCGGGCGGCCGTGCGGCGCTACCTGCCCTGGGCGCTGGTGGCCTCCATGCTGGCGGGCTCCCTCCTCAAGGAGCTGTCCCCGCTGCCCGAGAGCTACCTCAGCAACAAGCGCAACGTCCTCAACGTGTGAGTGCAGCCGCTGCCCCCGCGGCCCGCGCCGCCAGTCG